GCCCTTGCACTGCCACTTCTGCTTTATAAAATAAACAACTCTGGTCTCTTTATTTTACTTTGTGTCCTGTGATAATAAATATCTCCTGAGGCTAAAATCCTATTAGAAGTGCTCATTTTGTCACCATTAAAAAAAACAAGAGATCAGTTCTACTTTTGCAAAATAACTGATTTTTCCACTGACTGTTGAGGTTGTTCTGACTTCTGTGTATATCTTCTAGCAAAAACAGCAAAAAGGAATATTACTCACTGTTCTTCTTTCTAAAAAGAGTCCATATGTTTCTGAAATAGGTGCACAGTCAGAAAGGGAAGAAATATAGTATTATTATTTCGCTAATCTCTAAGTGTTTTAGTTTTAATTGTGGCAATAAAATACTAAACACGAAGTGTACTATCATTACAAGTGCATTCTGCTTTCAGCCCGCTAGATGAAAATCCCAGCAAAGCTGCTACTTACTGGAAGTCAGAAACAGGGAGGAGTCCGCTCTGTCTAGAAAGCATATTTAGAGATATAATCTAAGTGCACCAGAAAGGAAGCTGTAGAGCCCAGTAGCAGACAAGGGATGAGTATGGTCTAGCCCTCCAGCCCATTAGTCTGCTTGACATTTTCTGCTACTTGGGGAGATGGGAATCTGAAATGTGTTTATGCTCAGTCAGAAATTGTGATAAAAAAACAAACAGATCTGGGAGTGGTTGTCAAAAGATTATCTTTTTCTTTCTTCCCTAAGATTTCCTAAGAAGATGAGACTAGTGGTGAGACGATTTAACAATCTTCTCTTTCTAATAAGGTAATGGACTAACTAGAGCTTAGCATTATCTGTATTCTCCACACTTTTCCTTTGTTGGCCATCTCCCCCACCACATTTATATTCTCTTGCAACTCTTACCTATTGCTGCCTATTTCACCAGTGTGTGTACAGTGTAGTACAGTCATTTCCATTTCCTTTATCATGTATCTTTCACGTAATTGATCAACCATCCTATTTCTATATGACACAGCAAAAGTACCGGGGGAAAAGGATTTCCCCCACTTCTCTTTCCTGATTTCTACACTAAGCTTTCTTGCCTACACACAGCAAAAAAGGAAACATAGCAGGGGCTTCTCTAGAAAGAAGCCATTAGTGTTAGTCACTCAGTCGTGTCTGACCCTTCCCAACCCCATGGACTGTAGCCTGCCAGGCTTCTCTGTCTATGGGATTTTCCAGGCAAGAATACTGGAGTGGGTTGCCATTTCCTTCTCCAGGGGATCTTCTTGACCCAGAGATGGAACCCGAGGCTCCTGCATTGCAGGCAGATTCTTTACCACCTGAGTCACCAAGGAATCCCCTAGAAGGAAGAGCCTGCGTAAAAACTAACACAAAAAGTGAACAAAAGAACATCGAAAAAGCCTCTGAAAGTCCTCTGTGTCCCTGTACACTGACCCACCCGTCCTTTCTTATCCCATAAAGAACTATAGCACAATTTCCAAGTCACTATGAGAGGCTAAGACTTGTTTTATCTTAATAATGAAAGCCCTGGTGGCTCAGACGGTAAAGTGCATGCCTACAATCCCTGGGTTGTATCCCTGGGTCGATCCCTGGGTCGGGAAGACCCTCTGGAGAAGGAAATGGCTACCCACTTCAGTTCTCTTGCCTGGAAAATCCCATGGACAGAGAAGTCCATGTGGTTGCAAAAAATTGGACACGACTGAGCAACTAAACTTTTAATAATGAAATGGTTCTAATCTGAAGTACTCTTATTACTATTATAAGCTAATATATCTGTTTAACATGCTTGTGTATAGAATGATGTATGCAAACTGACTAAATAAATATGCTTGAACCAGTTACATTATGGACAATCTAGAGGAATCAAATATTAGGTAAGAAGTTATGGAAAATGAGTAACTGACATTCCCAAAACAAGCTCTAACAGGATGTGGGATGCATGTGCATATTTTTGGTTGCTTTATAATCAAGTACCCAGAACAGTGTCTGGCACACTATAGGCACTTGATAAATACTTGTCGTACAAGTGTATCTAACTTCAGTCTGAAAAACTGCAAAGATGCACTTTACAGGCTAAGCATTCAGCAGACCAAGGGCTACAATCAACTCACTTGTCCAGGGCCTCAGGCAGCTAAGCTACTCCTGGCCTCCCCACTTCTCTGCATTACACGGACAGCTCCCTGTCATTTAAGATTTGAGAATATAAGTGCACTTATAAAATGATTGGTTTTAGCATTTTTAAAAAATTTACTTACATAAGTATCTTAAGAAAAAACCACATTCTTCAACTCATTCAGTTCAGTTCAGTCGCTCAGTCATGTCCGACTCTTTGCAACCCCATGAACCGCAGCACGCCAGGCCTCCCTGTCCATCACCAACTCCTGAAGTCCACCCAAACCCATGTCCATTGAGTCATGGTTGGTGATGCCATCCAACCATCTCATCCTCTGTCGTCCCCTTCTCCTCCTGCCCTCAATCTTTCCCAGCATCAGGGTCTTTTCAAATGAGTCAGCTCTTCGCATCAGGTGGCCAAAGTATTGGGAGTTTCAGCTTCAACATCAGTCCTTCCAATGAACACCCAGGACTGATCTCCTTTAGGATGGACTGATTGGATCTCCTTGCAGCTCAAGGGACTAAAACTCTGTTAAAATAAACACATACTCTTTCATGCATTTAAAACACTGACGTTATTAAACATTCTCTACCCTGGCCAGTTTTTTTTTCTTAACAATGAGCTTTTGATCACTTAGCCCAGAATACCCTTTTCCCTGTCTGTCTCTAGGAGTACTTTACTTTCAAGGGCCAATTCCAGTTCTATTTTTTGCAAAAAAATAGATATTCATGATATCATCATGATATTCAGGGATTACTCTCCCCACTTTCTCTATTTTCAGAGAAGATAGTGTCTTACATGACATTAAATCAACATTGTCTTTTAGGGTCTTTTTTTTTTTTTTTCATGTCATTATATATCTGCTTCCTAACAGATGACTGGGATCTGAGTATGGGTATTATTTCTTGCAGATTGTTTTGTTTTGTTTCTTTTTATCTCTACCATACCAGGCTAGTACATGGAAGGAAATCATTTGAGGGAGTGTGAGGACACTCCATGTATTCAAACACATCTAGGTACCATTTCTCAGGTAAGCATAGCAAAGCTGAGCTCTCTCTGAACTTTCTCTTATATCTAACTTTAAAAGTGAAGTGAATTAAGTGCAATGGTTTAAAAGGTCTTTAAAGGTAACTAGACTTCCCTTCCAGGTCCTGCTAGACTGCAGTTTACATAAATCTAAAGGACATGCAGTAGAAGTAAGCATCAAGTTAAATCAATGGCATGATTAATGATAACAGGAATTACATGCATAAAAGATAAAAATATACCTGAGAGCTGACTGCAGTTTTTAATTAAAAACTAATGGACTGGTGATTAATCTTAAACTGACTATAGATTTACCTAAAAACTGAATGATAAATGACAGTTAAGGTTTGAGGTTTTAATTCATAATTTGTTAATCAGTTTCAAAGAGATATTTTTAATTACGTTGTTAGCAATGTATGCATTGCCACAGTAAACATGGGAGAAATGACTTTGCCTGAGGACAGATATAAATGAACAGGTAGGAAAATAGCATAGCAATGGTGAAAAGAATTGAATGTTAACCAGATTAAATGAGTTGATATCTATAAAAGGCCTTAAAACATGGTAAAAGATAAGAATTAAGGTGAAACTGAAATAGACCCTTATAGAGAGACACCCTTAAAATTTTTGCATCACAAAAAGCTACAAACTAGGACTTCCCAGGTGGCACAGTGGACTGTGCCAATGCAGCCTGCCAGTGCAGAGGACATGGGTCTTCCTGATCCAGAAGATTCCATATCCTGCGGAGCAACTAAGCCCATGTGCCACAACTACTGAAATCTCTGTGCTCTCAGGCCTGCAACAAAGAGTAGCCCCCACTCCCTGCAAATAGAGAAAGCCCTTGCACACCAGTGAAGACCCAGCACAGCCATGAATAAATAAAAATTATTTTTAAGAAAGTTACAAACTAAAATTTTTTGGTCCTTGGAAGAAAAATTATGACCAACCTAGACAGCACATTAAAAAGCAGAGACATTCCTTCGCCAACAAAGCTCTGTCTAGTCAAAGCTGTGGTTTTTCCAGTAGTAATGTATGGATGTGAGAGTTGGACTATAAAGAAAGCTGAGCATGGAAGAAATGATGCTCTTGAACTGTGGTGTTGGAGAAGACTCTTGAGAGTCCCTTGGACTGCAAGGAGATCCAACCAGTCCATCCTAAAGGAAATCAGTCCTGAATATTGATTGGAAGGACTGATGCTGAAGCTGAAACTCCAATACTTTAGCCACCTGATGCGAAGAGCCGATTCATTGGAAAAGCCCAGGATGCTGGGGAAGATTGAAGGCGGGAGGAGAAGGGGATGACAGAGGATGAGACAGTTGGATGGCATCACCAACTCAATGGACATGAATTTGAGTAAACTCCAGGAGTTGGCGATGGACAGAGAGGCCTGTTGTGCTATAGTCCATGGGGTCACAAAAAGTCAGACACGACTGAGCAACTGAACTGAACTGAAAATTTCTGTAGTGGTTTACTACTAATTATTTGTTTTGCAAATATACAATAAGGATTACTTAACATTTGAAACAGACCCATTTATGTCAGTTCTTTTTTTTTCCCTGAAAAGCTGCCAGATAAATATCTAAGTATAGCACTTGGCCGTTGCTGGAGCCCTTGTGAAACAATGGCTCCAAAAACACCTGGTCAAATACCATGCCAGAATTATATATCCAGCTTCTTTCACAGGCTGAACATTCTTTGCACTGAATTGAATTCTACAGTTTTGACTATTACAATTATTCCCTTCCCCACTCCACCAATTCACTGCAGATTCCCTGACTAAAATAAATATAAAACCTCTGAATTCATTCTCCCATGTTTTAGAATTAACTGTTAAAAATTCTCCTAATGTTGTGCTGTAATAACATAATATCATACCTTTTGGATTTCTTCAGGTAATGCATGCATGGGAACATGACGATCCATAATTTCCCAAAATATACTGAAGGAACTTTGAAGTAAAATAATCTAAAAACATTGATGGTGATAATTAGAATTAAAACAATATGAAGAAAATTTAAATTAAAATATAAATTCCTACAAGTATTTGGGAATCAATGGGGATAACTATTTCCACAGATGCTTGTTTCATTAACTCAATGTTAAAAGGTACAAATGAGGTTTTCTCATGTGGTTATTAGGCCAATAGAACAGGAAGGACTAGAGAGACTACTGAATTAAAAATCACATTTTCTTTCTTTGGAACTTTATAATTGTAACTTCTGTAGTGGCATACAACTAGGTATTTGTTTTGCAAATACAGATTAAGGATCACAAAATTTTAAACAGATCCATTTATTTCATTTAAAAGAAAAGTTTCTCCCCTGAAAAGCTGCTGGAAAAAATATCTATAGAATAGTTTAGCAGATTAAAAAAAAAAAAAATGTGACATGAATGCTGGTTTAAATGAAGTACAGAAAAAAATAGTTATCAAGTTAAATATGATAGGCAAGCACTGAACAGAAAAATCACTAAAGCATAAGAAGCCAAGTGTCAATTTTACCAAAAGTAGACATTTATATAATTTTTACACAGATGTTTTACTTTAATAATTTTCATTTTATAATAAAACAATTCAATATAAAACTCTATCATTACTTTCATAAAACCACACAAGATTAATGAAGGGGCACTTTGAGTTCTTATTTTTTTAATGTTTCACAAATAAGGAGAAAGAATAGACAGTCCAGTTTCAAGAAATGAGAGATGTTCATTCCTATGTATGGGTGTATACAGATACATATATATATATATATATACACACGTATATATGGGAAGTGACGGGGACAGCAGAGTAAGATAATATAGGCACAATTCCACAGCAGGAAAGGCCTGAGGGCCAGGAGCTGTAGATGAGGAACGGTCTAGAAGTTCCAGGGAAAAAAATGTCTTATCTTCCTTACGGGAATGGGGAATTAGCAAAGGCGTCCTGAAGAGGTTTACTTTTGGTCAGGACAAGATTTTGACAGAGACTAAAGAGGCACAGTACTCTATCAGAAAAAGTAATCCCAGCCACACAGCAAGATATCAAGAAAATTGTAATTGACAAAAGTTCCTGTGAGGAAGTATTTTTTTTTTAATTGTGTAAGTATTGGTGGAAGGGTGGATTTCCAATCCCCCTTGTTAGCAAAGTTCCATGTTTAATGAGCTGCTGTTTAAAATAAATAACTAATGGGCTGTCTTCCAACCTAAAGATAAAGGTAATACAATGTGTGTGGACAGAGAGTAAAGTTAACTGACATAGTGAACATTGGCCCACATAGCCAAGTACATAATAATCTGATATTTGGCAGACTGTCACAGTGATGTGGCAAGAGCTCATTATTCACTGAAAGCTTATTATTCTCATTTCTGTCATTTTACAGTGAGCTCACCATCAGTAAAATAAGATGGCTTCATCTTAATGAAACTCTATTGTGAGCAGAATTTTTCCTAAAATTACCAACTAAATTTCCTTTTTAAAATTTCACACCTAAATGTATTTGAGAGCATGAATCTAGTGGCACAGCGGAACAGTTTCGTTATTGTAAATCTAGTCCAATTTTGTGGCCTTATTATACTGAATGGGAAGAACTGGTAGGTCTGATTATTGAGGAAAATTTTAAAAATCCTGCCATCTAGAAAATTTCCCCACAATGAAGGAAGCAATTTTATTATCACATAAGCATTTAACTAGACTGTGACGCACAGCTAATCTGCTAATAAGATTACAAAGACAGAAAGAAATCCCACTTTTTAATATAGCCAAGCAGATACACTCCATTACATATACATGTCTTCAAGATAAAGATAATTAGTCCTCAACAGAGCTTGCTATACTCTATTTCATAGTTTGTTTTTTAAATTCACCTGGTAATTGAAGTAGCCACCCCTGCTAGCTAACAGTGTTTGTTCAAACGAATACGTATCTCTAGACAAAGCACTTGGTTACTAGAAGCACTAAACCCCAAAGTAATATGGAGATTTGGGCCCTGTTTCCCTTGATGTCTACATTTTACAGAAACGGCTCCCAGGTCCTCCAGGAAAATATCGTGGGTCTTCAAAAGATTTGCATACATACATGTTAAAGGAACAGAGGAAGCACACAGACATAAGAGGTTTCCCAAGAAAGGGATGGGAAGAGGGAAATTTAGGCAAGAGGGAAATTTTTTTTTTTAACTTTTAATTTACTCTTTCATTATTTTGCTTTTTTCTTTTTAAATCAAAAGAGGCCCTTTTATTCTCAGACATTACACACTTTGTCAACTGTTCTTCGACGTGAGGTGCGGTGATAACTGGCGGCAGCCGCGTAGGTATTTGTGAACCTGCTCTGACAGGATTACAAGGAAGATGTCAAAAATACAGACCCGTCCCCAGTCGTTCACTTCCGACTCCCTTCATGACACCAGTGTCACGCTGGGCCATTAACTCACCTTCAGCTTTCAGGCCCTTCCCTAAAGAACTATTCCTTTAGTGTGTGTGAATCACCATCGATGAGGTCAGGGTCAGGTGAAGAGGGAGTTCACCTCCTGAGACCTTCCGAAGGGGCAGGATTTTCCAAATAGAAACTAACTGCAAGTCCAGCCAAAATCAGCTGCAAGGGTTTTGAAATCTGTCCCTTTATAACCCTGTCCCCTGGGGACCCGTGAAGGCGGGAAGAAGAGGAGGTGCGGGAATGAGGCCTATCCCAGCCGCGCTCTCAGGGGGAGAAGAGGGCGCCCAGCCGGAAAGGCTCGCGAAGATCGACAGAGGCAGCAGCTGGGGGCAGAGGCAAGGCGCGGGGCCCATTCCCCGGGCGCAGCACCACGGCTCGGCTTTCCGGCTCTGCCCCCGGGCTGCCAGCACGCCTCTTCTTCGGAACTGCGCGCCGGGACCAGGTCATTCCCGGGCTCAAAAAAGCCTTTCCTTGTCTCTCACCTATACTTCGATTCCGCCGGGGGCAAAACGGCTCTCCTGGTCTCCCAGGAGACCGTGCTGCACGTCCGCCTGACGTCAAGGCGCGGTGACGTCACGACCCACGCCGCTCGCCACCGCGGAAGCAGGACACCCCTGCACCGCCCCGGGCCAAGTTCTTGGCGGAAGCTTGAAGCCTCCTGGTTGGGGTCAAAGAACTGGCTCAGCTTACCCTGGATGCTGTGAGTGGGAGGCAGGGGATGCGAAGGGCGAGGCAGAGGAGGGCGGGCTGGAGGGAGACATTTCTATGTTGGAATGACGGTGGCAGAGGTGGAGGACGCAGTCGGTCTACGTCTCACCCCTGACCCCAGGGCCCTTGTGCCGGACGCGCCAGTGGGCAGTTACTGTTCTTGACCGGAAAGAAGATCCCTTGAGGTCATGGGTGTGTAAAGGGAGCTTATGGTCTCAGTCACTACAGGGAGGGCAAGTTAATTGGGAAGGCGTTGGTAAAATTTTCATCCGAGTCCGAAAGTTGTCGAGATGAAGGGCTTAGTTCTAAAGGTCTCTTGAGACCTCTAGTCCACAATTTATTTACAGAAGGTTGCCTACCCTTACACATTATTTACTTTCTTTTCTTCCTTCAAAATAGTTTGTTGATGACCTACTGCCTAACTAGCAACTGCATACCAGGCTGGGGTGGTGCTCAGTGACTAAATCCATGCAGGGATCTCATTCTCAGTACAGATCTTTCCCTTTACAGGATTTTATGAGATCCAAAACGCAGCTCTTCTAAGAAATAAAACATTCACAGCTTGCTAGCAGGGGAAGAGACTTACTACTATTGAATGAAATGAGGTTGAGTGAATACAAAAAATACATAAAATGCACTTAACCTGACTGGTATTTTTGCCCCAACACCTAAGTGACTTTTTGTTTCCATTCCCTAAAAGAGAGCATCTTTCTTCATCTGGAAAAGATAAGCAAGAATTAAGGGAAGCACAGGATAGCCAATGAAGTGGTCAAGTACAGTATGTTTATGAGTCTTGCAAAGAACTTTCAGGGGTGTTCACCCTCAGCCTATTTCTTTGAGGAACAATGAAGGCAGGATTGTTCCCGTTTTGTAACAATGGGGGTGTAGGTAACACACACAAGAAAATTCATCCAGATCCAACCAGTGCTTCATCCTGAATAGGAATTACACACCTAAAGCAGGATAGCTCTTCTGAAGTTAGTTTGGCTATTGGATGATTATTAGCATTGATAATATTTGAGTATTTTGTATATATGATAAGGAAACTAAGGATGGGAGAAGATGCAGCTGCGAGACTGTAATTCATTGTGTGGTCTCATCTCACCTGTGCTTATCCATCTGTACATTGGCATTGAGACCAATTTTCCTTCCACTGTAAATGTACACTAGACCTTCACACTGTCCAATAAGATAATCACACGTGACTACTTAATTTTGTTAAAATGAAATAAAATCTCAAATTTCATCCATGTATTGCACTAGCCATATTTCAAGTACTCAGTAGCTACATGTTGCTACCACATGAGACAGCATATAGAGAGAATATTTTCATCATCAAAGAAAGTTTTGTTGAACATTGGTAGACCCAATAAGAATTTCAAAGATAAAATGTTGAGAAATTGTGAAGTATATAGCCCTTGTTAAAAGAGTAGCAATGAAAAGTTGTATTCCTGAACACCACAGCACCCACCCCGACCCTCACTCGGCATAAGGAACCAGCCCACCCCACCTCAGGGAGCAAAAAAGAGAAAGTGTTCCTTGTTTTTGCTCCCTTGTGCTGCACATGAGTCCCAGTAAAGCCTTGCTTAGGGAGAAAAAAAAAAGAAGATAAAGAATTGTAGCAGGGAATTACAAAACAGGTTTTTAAAAAAAAAGTTTTAAAAGAGTAATCAAATAAGCCTCTTCCTGTTGTTGGTGTGTGTTTTGGTGCTTTGTTTTGATTTGGGTGTTTTTGTTTTTTTTTTTTTGGCTCTCATTGGGTCTCAGTCTTTGCCTCTGTCTCTTCAGGTTTCTTTCCTTGTCCTTTTTGTTTTTCCAGTCCTTTTCCCTACCCCATTATTAGCCATACTGGAACTGAAGTAGAATTTAAAGCATTTCCATCATTGGACATATTGAACAAAGTTTTGTTTTATCCTCTTTTTCAATTTTAAACTATGTAAGTTTCACTTTTTACGGCGACTTTTAAAAATAATCAGTGAAAACCAAATTGAACTCCTTTCAGCCTCTTCTCTACATGGCAGAAAGCGAAGAACTAAAGAGCCTCTTGATGAAAGAAGAGAGTGAAGAGTTGGCTTAAAATTCAACATTCAGAAAATGAAGATCATGGTATCTGGTCCCATCACTTCATGGCAAATAGATGAGGAAGCAATGGAAACAGACTTTATTTTGGGGTTCTCCAAAATCACTGCAGGTGGTGACTGCAGCCATGAAATTAACAGACACTTGCTCCTTTGAAGAAAAGCTATGACCAACCTAGATAGCATATTAAAAAGCAGAGACATTCCTTTGCCAACAAAGGTCCGTCTAGTCAAAGCTATGATTTTTCCAGTAGTCATGTATGGATGTGAGAGTTGGACTACAAAGAAAGCTGAGTGCCGAAGAATTGATGCTATTGAACTGTGGTGTTGCAGAAGATTCTTGAGAGTCCCTCAGACAGTAAGGAGACCAAACCAGTCCATCCTAAAGGACTGAATATTGATTGGAAGGACTGATGCTAAAGCTGAAACTCCAGTACTTTGGCCACCTGATGCAAAGAACTGACTCACTGGAAAAGACCCTGATGCTGGGAAAGATTGAAGGCGGGAGGCGAAGAGGATGACAATGGACATGAGTTTGAGCAAGCTCCATGAATTAGTGATGGACAGGGAGGCCTGGCGTGCCGCAATCCATGGGGTCGCAAAGAGTTGGACGTGACTGAATGACTGAACTGACTGTGACCCTTTATTATAATTTTTCTTCTGTCAGTTTTTCTCAGGGGAATGACCCCGAGATAGAAAAAAACAAATTCCTCCTAGTTTTTGAAGTAGAGTCTATATAAAGTGATAACCTAGGGCTTTCCACGTGGTTCACACAATTTTGTGTTGTCATGTTAACATTTCAGTTCAGTCGCTAAGTCATGTCTGACTCTGTGACACTGTGGACTGCAGCATGCCAGGCCTCCCTGTCCATCACCATCTCCCAGAGTTTACTCAAATTCATGTCCATTGAGTTGGTGATGCCATCCAACCGTCTCATCCTCTGTCGTCCCCTTCTCCTCCCGCCTTCAATCTTCCCCAGCATCCTGAGCTTTTCCAATGAGTCGGCTCTTCGCATCAGGTGGCTAAAGTATTGGAGTTTCAGCTTCAGCATCAGTCCTTCCAATCAATATTCAGGACTGATTTCCTTTAGGATGGACTGGTTGGATCTCCTTGCAGTCCAAGGGACTCTCAAGAGTCTTCTCCAACACCACAGTTCAAAAGCATCATTTCTTCCATGCTCAGCTTTCTTTATAGTCCAACTCTCACATCCATACATGACTACTGGAAAAACCACAGCTTTGACTAGACAGAGCTTTATTGGCGAAGGAATGTCTCTGCTTTTTAAAATGCTGTCTAGGTAAGTGTTAACATTTATGAGAACACTGTCTATGCTTCTGTTCCTGTTATGAATTTGAATTTACCTAATTATCCAGCACAGCATTGCCATTCATGCCAGTCATTCTGGTAAGTAGTATTATGCCCCTTCCTCTCCTCTTCCTGTCCCCACATGAAAAGCATGTGGGAAAATAGGTACTTTGTCTTCAAGTCTAATATAAAGATTAGGAATTTTATCCAAGATCACTCATTTTAAAGTGCCCTCAAAACTGTACAATGGGAGCATGGCAAAATTACAATTGTTATGTCGCTAAGGCATGTCTGACTCTTGTGATCCCATGGACTGTAGCCCTCCAGGCTCTTCTGTCCATAGGATTTCCCAGGCAAGAATACTGGAGTGGGTTCCCATTTCCTTCTCAAGAGGATCTTCCCAACCCAGCGATTGAACCCGAGTCTTCTACATTGCAGGTAGATTCTTAACTGCTAAACCCCTTGGGAACCCCTAAAATCACAGTTAGCCCAACTTTATTTTTATCTGGTGAATCAGAACACAGTACAACACTACCTCCTCAAAAGTGTGAATAAAAATGGTTGCAGATGAGTCCCAGACTGAAAGCAACAATGGCTTTTCACTGCTGTTTCTGGGTTCCATCCAATGCAAGTGCAGAAGTTTTTAAACATCATTTACTGGGCTCTTTCCAGGCATTTCATGTACAGTGTCTCATATACTGCAATCTTTCCAAACATAACTCAGTCAGATCTTGTTTATTGTTTGCTGCTGCTGCTGAGTCGCTTCAGTCGTGTCCGACTCTGTGCGACCCCATAGGAGGCAGCCCACCAGGCTCCCCCGTCCCTGGGGTTCTCCAGGCAAGAACACTGGAGTGGGCTGCCATTTCCTTCTCCAATGCATGAAAGTGAAAAGTGAAAGTGAAGTCGCTCAGTCATGTCTGACTCCTAGGGACCCCATGGACTGCAGCCTACCAGGCTCCTCCATCCCTGGGATTCTCCAGGCAAGAGTACTGGAGTGGGTTGCCATTGCCTTCTATTTATTGTTTACTCTCACTCAAAAAGATAGAAGTAGCCAAGGGCATGACCCAACACACGAGCACTGAAGCACTCTTGGACTGAATGTGAATGTAAGCAGGAGCACCTGGGCCTCCTGGATGTGTTAGCTGACCCTGCCAGCCAGCCAGTACCCACAGGGCCTCAGGCTGTTTTGGATATGTCACATGTAAATACCTACGATGGCTTCCCAGGTGGCACAGTGGTAAAGAATCTGCCTGCCAAACGCAGAAGTCACGGGTTTGATCCCTGGGTAGGAAAGATCTCCTGGAGTACGAAGTGGCAACCCACTTATGGACATAAGAGCCAGCCAGGCTACAGTCTATGGGGTCGCAAAGAGTTGGACATGACTGAGCATGAGCATGTAATGCCCAAGAAGTATTTAATTCTGGAAATGTAACTTTGTCTTATACTTACCTTTTCCACAACTTTTCCCATACAGCTTCGTTAAAAAAAAAAAAAGTCAGCTACAGGAGACCACTTGCTTTTTGTACTTCCCACCAAAATGTGGATAGGATTTCCTTTCCAAATATGATTTTTTAAACTATTAATCAATAGTTAGACTCCTTTGTAAACCTATTTTGCCTATTTTGAACCCTTATTTAGGATTCTAGAGGTGGCTTGAACACAAAATACTATTTGTGAGTTTAGACTCTGTATATTTTTTTAATCCATCACATGAGCAGTGTAAACTTGAGTACCTAATAAAATGAAGGTCACAATGTTTAAATAGCACTTCTCCCTAGGAGTTCAAATGTTTTGTCATCTGTACAGCAATAAACTGTGTACTGAATTCTTTTTAGCCCTGAGAATATGATTATTGAACAGAATTTCCAATGAGACAAGTTAGGCCTCAAAGAAATAAACATCTATTTTCACATGTTCAAAGTCAAGCTCTACAATGGTTCATTGTAGAACCCTTTGATGATTGTAAACATGTACTCTTGTGGCCTGTTCATTACTGATAAGAGCCTCACCCAAAAATGTACTGTGTGCCAAATAGGTTAATATTTGTCATATGAATATATTGATTTTTAATTGAGATATAACTGAAATACATTAGTTCCAGGTATCCAACAAAATGATTCAATATTTGTTTATATTGTAAAATAAAGGCAATAAGTCTAGTTAACATCCATCACCATACAGATACAATTTTTTTTCTTATGATAACAGCTTTTAAGATATGATCTCTTAGCTTCTTTCAAGTAAACAGTACAGTATTATTAACTATAGTCAAAGTGCTGAAACACTACATCCACAGGACTTATTTTCATGAATATAAAACACAAAAAGAATAAAGCTCTTAACAGTACTCACTCAATACTTTTGTAATCAATTTGATGCTCAAAATTATTGTACTGACAGTTCTTTAACCTTAGCTTCCAATATCTAGCCTGTAACAAATATCAATGAAATCAAAGACTAAAAATTGATAACTGCCTTATACACTTAAAAAACTTTTTTAAAGAACTTGCTTTTTCAATGAAATTATTACTTATTTCTGAGATTTCCATAGATTCTAATGAAGCATCTAAGTCTAACATTTGTTTTGATAAGTGACTGGCAGCAGTGATTTCATTTTACCTTTATAGATATGAAGTTCATATTTCTGTACCTATAATTTTAGGTAACTATGGAATTTATAAGACTCAAATTAGAGTAATTTTCCTGTCATTCTTTTTTTTTACATCTCTAGTAATAGGATACTTTGATGCCATTAAATCAGGAGTTGTGAATCATCTTAAAAGTATTTTCTTATGAACTAGTGATAAAAAAAATCAAACATTACTATCAAACAGGTGAAAAAGATTAATCATAGTAGCCCTGGTTTGCAAGGGTATAGAGAAACTAGCACTTTTTTTTTATTTTTAATTTTGGCTGTGTTGAGTCTTTGTTGTAATATGCAGGCTTTCTTTAGTTACAGAATGTAGGCTTGGCATATGGGATCTTAGTTCCCCAAGCAGGGGTTGAACCCACACCTCCTGCATTGGAAGGCAGATTGTTAACCACTGGACCATCAGGGAAGTCCCACAATTAGCACTCTTAAACACTGCTTTAAGGTTGAAAAAGTAATACATTATGTTTTAAACACCTTGAAATGTTCAAAACTATTATAGTGGGCACCTGATTCTCCCCTCTTTCTTTTGTTCAGAAATCCAGACTTCATCATCCTCCCCTCTACGCCCTCTACCCCTAAGCACACATGGATCAGCCCAACTCCAGGAATGATTAGGTCAATTCTGCTGACCACTTTCCCTTTACCAGTGATTTAAATCAGGAATGAGCCTATGACCCAATTCTGACCAAACAGACTCCAAGGGAAGTCTGCTGTAAGCTTCTGAAAAACTCTTCCTTATTAGCACAATACTTAAGGTTCATCACAGTCTTTCTTCTAATGTTTAAAAATCTGAAGTATCAAAATGAAATAAATTTATCAAGAAGATTGTTCAGCTGTTAAAAATGATGATGTAGTTTATTGGTGGTGAATGTCCCAATGGATTCTATTCCTTTTTATATGAAAAAGGGCAAGTTACAAATAGTTTTATAAATTTTAAAAAAGTATTCCAAATAGCATTCTAAATATATATATATATTTCCAATCTCCAGTTAGAAAAATTCCAGGAAGAGACTGTTTAGCACACCTTGAGTTATACCCCAATTCCTTGATCAAATCACTGAAACCAGGAGGAGTCAGGTACCAGTCTCTGACCAATTGTGGTTCCCAGGGAGGCCAGGCTATACAGGATGGTACCTCCCTTTCTAATTACACATCTAAAAGAGAAGAGACAGAAGAATCCAAGAAGGGGCGGTTCTGCCCCAGAAGAAAGGAAGAGTGCTAGGCAAATAAAATGAATGTTCTTACCGACAGAGTGAAAATCCGAAGTTAACTGGGAGAATATTTTAAAATTAAACAGTCGATCTTGCTATCTTTCCACATGTAGTAAGTTGAGAGGTGAACATGTGTGTTCTGAAAGAGCCTTCTGGGAGTTTATGTAGGTACCCTAAGCCCGGAGAAAGAGCATGAAACTGGGCACCACTGGCCCAAAGGTAATAATAGGAAAATAAACAAGAGCGTTGATCCATCAAATGAAATTTTAGATAAATAAGCTAACATGTAATTTTTTCAGCCGACCCAAGTGGTTTTGTGTGTTAAGCTGTCTTGGTGTCAGTATTTTTTGTTTTGCCCTTGAATCTTGATTTATCTCCATATCTACAAACATTTGAAATATATAAACATATCTGAATGAAAAAAACATTTTCCGCCCACATGATCTTTATAAGGAAGTTGGATTGTGGTGTCCTATTACGTCAGTTATTTTTTTCTTTTTCTTTTAAAAATATCCTTGGACTCTTGAGTCGCCGGAGAAAGGTAATGGGAACCCACTCCAGTACTCTTGCCTGGAAAATTCCATGGACGGAGGAGCCCGGTAGGCTGCAGTCCATGGGGTCGCTAAGAGTCGGACACAACTGAGCGACTTCACTTTCACTTTTCACTTTCATGCACTGGAGAAGGAAATGGCAACCCACTCCAGTGTTCTTGCCTGGAGAGTCCCAGGGACGGAGGAGCCTGGTGGGCTGCCGTCTATGGGGTCGCAGAGTTGGACACGACTGAAGCGACTTCGCAGCAGCTTGAGTCGCCATGCAAGAGGTCGCTCCCGTTTGTACGCCATTAAAACCAGGCATCTCTCACTTCTTGCAAAATAAAGCACTGGCAAGAACGCTTCTAGGAGGAATGATAGTTTGCCCAGCATCACGACTCTGTTATTAATCTTTGTGCAGAGTGCACAAAACTTGCGTCCCAAAGCCTCCGTCCTCTGGTTCCTTCCTCTGTAAGCATGTCACAAGAACGCACCTGTGTGCCGAGCCTCTAAATGTAAAGCTTTCCTTGGAAAGCTTCCCCGGAACAACTGCTTATTGATAGAGCAGCTCTGGTTCCCAGTTCGTTTAATACATCCTGTCTGAGCGGGTTTTATTACTGAATGTTACCCAGGTACCGATAACAAGGAGACGCCGTGTCCTCCCGGGTGAACTCACTCCCTGTCCCAGAAATATAGCGTGACTCCCCTCCCCGCTGCGGTTGTAAAAGTGGAAACCCGGCACCGCCCTCCTGCACCTGCGCTCCCGCCCCGCGGCGGCGGCGACGAGCCGGGCTGGGAGAGCTGCCCGGGGCACGAAGTGCGTGCGGCCGCCGGGCGGCGGGTCACGCAACCCCGCGGCCCCGCCCCCGCTGCCTGCGCTCGCCGCTTCCGCGCTAACCCGGGCTTCCTGGCGGGCCCTGCGCCCGCCTCGCGTGCCGGCCCGGCCGCCTAATCCCGTGAGGAATCCCTGATTCCGCCCGGTCCCCGCCGCCAGCTTGAGCCGGAGCAGCTAATGCCCTTATTTTAACGCCGAAAATTACCCAGCTCCGCTGCTCTAAGGCAAAGAGCTCGGGCGGCGGGACGAGGAAGAAGGGGAACGCGGGCGAGGAGTCACGAGTCGCCTCCGCGGGCCGTTCTCGGCTTCTTGAGCGGTCCCGACGCTTGCTCGCCGCCTGCCTTGCCTGGGCAACCGCAGCAGGCTGGCGGCCTTGCGCCCTCCGGGGTTGCGCCCCGGGAAGAGAGTCCCGCGCCCTCCACCCCCCGTACCCCACCGCAGCCCTTTCTGCCGGGAACTCGGGGCGCACGGGAGGCAAGAGGCGCTGCCGGGAACTCGGGGCGCACGGGAGGCAAGAGGCGCTGCCGGGCGACTGACCCGGTTGACCCGGCGCCTTCCCCACACTGAGGGGGTTGGCAGCTGTGTGTCAGGGGGTGGTGAGGGACAGGGCCCTCCGAGGCTGAAAAGAGAAGGCTACCGCCTGGGAGGTCAGG